CGGGCGGAAAGCTAGTATAACATAAATATTAATAAACTTCTAAGTAAAGTTAACCAAAAGTTATGTAATTAATTACGCATCGTGTAAACACCCTACAGATTAGGTATACAGACACACTCACACATACGAGTGCGGCGGCGTTGTGTTGTATCAGCACGCCGCCGCACGCGTCCACACTTGGAACACTTGGAACGTGTCAACACTTTATTTATTTATACGGAAATTTTGTCAAAAATTAAGTACCTATTTTTTTTACATAATTCGAATGAGAATCATGTACCGAGTATCCTCCTTAAATATTGATAGTAATTCACCAGTCACCCTGTATATGTAGATTATAAATTATTGCAATTTTTTGTTATAATTCAAATATTAACTGTATTTTAATAACAATGATTTTATACTAATGCAAGGTTAAATTTCGCATCGTCTCGCGTCGCTGGTAATGTTATATACGACAGAAAGAAATGCCGTATTTCTGCTAACGGTTTCCTCTGTTATAATTTACGAACTCATACGAGTTGACGTGAGCGTCTTAGAATTTAATAAATTATTTATAGCTCGCCATATTTTGTTTGAAATCATCACAGATTTGCAATGATGTATTAAACATTAAGATTATTTAAAATAAAATAACGTTCTTGCTGATCGAACAAGAAAGAAAGAATAGTTTAATTTTATAACTAGCTTACCGCCCGCAGCTTCGCCCGCGTGGAGTTCGGTTATATCGCGTTTCCAAGAGAACCTTTCAAAAGTCTGGGATAAAAACTATTCTATGTTCTTTCTCCTGGTCAACTCTATATCTGTACCAAATTTTATTAAAATCATTCAATGGCTTAGGCGTGAAAGCGTAACAGACAGACAGACAGTCTAACTTTCGCATTTATAATATTAGTAGGGACTGTCAAACGTGTTTACACATTGCTTACATAGAGGGCACTACAAGTCCTATTTTGATATAATTACAACATTACTTATTCAATGATGATTTAAATAATATTTGTTTTAGGTCTGTAAGCTGTTAGATAAGAAAAGTCAAGAGCGAAAGCGTTCCGTGAGATTCATATACTTGATTACATCAGATGTTCGTAATGTTTGTTTGTTGAAAAAAAACAAATAATAAGTATGCAAAAGAGTTTTTATATGAAGATTCTTAAATTTTTTGTATACTTAAGAAAATTCTTATAATAATAGTCTTGCATGACTTAGATATTACGTTTTGTTAGAAATAATATATTGGTTAATTGTTAATAATTCTTATTTATACCAAGGTTTTCATTGATCACATATTATTATATTTTAATAAACGTTATAAAGAAAACTATTGATTACTTTAACTATATATATTTATTATTATTTCTATATTAATATAAAGAATCCTTGTAACTTGTTAACAATTTGAAAAGTCCATCTCTGTCTCAAGAGTCAAGTGACGTATTGCAGCATCCCGTCTAGAGAGAAAGTATGTTCTTGTAACAAAGAAGATTCATTTAGATATAACAATGATAGGTGAAAGATTTCTGTGTTTATACAAATATATTATTATTTCAGATTTAAATTAAGTTAACTAATGTATTTTTCTTATTTATTCATTATTTTATTAACTAAATATTATTATATATTTTTACGCTTTATTTATATAAGTAGTAACGTTGCTGTTATTTCATATTTATACCTTAATAATTATTAAAGAAAACTTTTCTTTTATAATATTAAATAGTTTATTATAATGGGGAGAGTTATAAATTATAAACAGTTGTAATTTACGTTGCATGTCAATAATAAATGGGAAGTATTTCAATGGATGCATTACATAATATCTTCCTCATGAAAATGACTTTATTACAATAAGTCGAATAAGTATGACCCTTACAATAACATAGGTAAAATGAACATGACGTAAAAACATGTTTAAGCATTAATATTTGACGTTATAAAATATTTTTTGCGTATAAATACATAAAAAATAAATTATTAATCTAATTATCAAACGTATTGGGATAGTATAATTAAAATTAAGGTTTAATCGATGACATGAGACTTGTTGGTATATATTTATTGTTTTTTCTTGTATTAAATTAATAAATACAGGAAATATGTAGAAAAAAAATATGATCTATACTGTATTGAGACATTCAGTTGTTACTTTTTTGTTCGAATCATCGGAATTGTAGATGGTAAAAACATCGACCGTGTCGAACCCATGGTATTTGATATCAAAAGTCTTACTACAAGTTTCTGTTTACTATTAACGCAGCGTCTCCCGTTTTTCATTCAATAAACTATGTTACTATAGAAGATATATGACTGAAAAACTGTTAACGCTACGTATGTAGTGATGTTGGGAACTTGGATTAAGGATGCTGATGTGAGATTGATGACGGCAGTTGAAATGATGACAGCTTGTACTATGATTAGCGTCGTTTGTATGTCTGTACGTACTCTCTTCACAAACGAAATAAATTGATGTTGTTATATTTTGGTTGATGATCACACCATATATACATATATGTATATATACATATACATAAAATACTTTTCCCAGTTTTGTTTAGCAAGTACAGTAGGACCCCGATTATCCGGACCTCGGTTATCCGAATTCGCGATTATCCGGACTGCCAATCGCGACGAGTTTAATCTAACACTAGCTTTTGCCGCGACTTCGTCCGCGTGGAATAGTGACTTCCGGCAGATTTTTGGTTCTTCCCACATAGTTCCCGTTCTTGTATGGTTTTCGGAATGGTCGAGTTCCCGTAGAATTTTCAGGATAAAACCTAAGTTTTTTTTTAATTCACAATGGAGTACTCTTAACCAACAACACATTTATTTGTTTATTTGAATAAAGATTAATATGTAATGTAGTCGGGAGATGTTTATAGAAAGTATTTAATTACTTTGTATTCTATATAGCTTGCTATTATCAGAAATATTCGTTTTTAAAATGTCTTGATTTATTAATTATATTATTATGTATTAAGTATATGTTTATTATTATGCATGTGTCTTCTTATATTAAAACTAGCATATATATTTAACAACCTTTTTTTCCTATCTTAATTTAATTGAAAGAGATTGCCATTTGACAAAACGACTGCTTACTTTAGGTTACAGCATTTGAATCTTTCCTTTTTTACCACTTTTATAAGTCGTGTGGTGTAGAATAAATAACAGATATAAATAGTTTTATTCCATTAATTAAACTTAAATATTATCGATATGAATAAAAAACCTTTGATAAAGTTCAGTTATCTGAAGTAGGAGAATAAAATTTCAATGAATTAGGTATCACATATTTTTTTCTCCTTTATTATTCAATGTAAATATTCCGTTATATTTACGAGAAAATACATTTCTCATGTCTCTGTATAACTATCCCACAGTTGTATTACAAAGTAACGGAGAACTGAGAAGACGTATACTGTTAGAAACACATTTAATAGGTAAGGGTTAGTGGGATAATGCCATAATGTCTACACAACATTGGATTTAACTTCAAACTTATACATATAAATCTATAATATTATACGTATTTTTTTGTTTTTGAGGTAATTGATACGTATTTTTTATATTACGAAATAAAAAATGACTTTCAAGGTTAAAGAAGTTGGTACTTAATATAATTAAGTTACCAATATGACATAAATCATACGTAAGTTAAAAAAAAACTTATCATATTTCATCAAAGGATATTTAGTGTTCAATAGATAACGAACTGTGGATAAGGCATCATAATTAATTAGGTATTACAAATTAATTAGTACTTATAACTTAGTAGAATAGAAATGTCATTATGACAATGTAACCGTTCAGAAATCTTTACGAATTGACGTATTAACTATGTGTTTGTGTCAAAGTCATAGTATGCGTGTGTAAATTTTATACAAAAAATATCTAATCCACTTCTTCATATATTGTAAACATTGATCATATGAAATTTCAGTAAGGGTATTTTTCCTTAAAGGGGTAGAAAGTTTTCACTTTAGGTTTTATACAATGTATAATTAATTTTTCTTAAATAGGAGTTATGGATACTGGTAAAAGAAATCGTGTGTAAGATTAAGATTTAATTAAATATATAATGCAAATTATCAAACATACTGTAAAATGCAGAGTATACATATTAAAAATAAAATTAATAAATGCTTTCATTATACTTGTTAATCTTTGCACATCGCAAGAAAAAAAAACATGTAAATCAATTTGTTTGTTTTGTGTAACGTCATTCTCATAAACACAAAAAGGTGAAACTCATCGATTGTTAGCAGTTCAGAGGAAACTCGTACAATGGTCGTGTGAATTTATCACAATAGATACAGTTCTTAACATCTGTTACCGTAGTACGAGTTAATATCGAATTAACGGACAGTTTAGAGTTATTGCGTTAACCACAGATTAATAAACAATAGACTAGAAATATATTTATTTTGAAACAAAGAAAAATTTTCCAATTTATGGACTGTATTTTTGTTTTGGTAGTTTTTAGTGGAAATTTTTTACAAAAAAAAGGGTTTGTCATTCAATTTTGCTGGCTTCATACGAAGAATTCGATTCACGAGCATCAAATATATTATTTATGAAATAGATATATAATTTGAGAAATAAAATTAACATTGATACAAGTAACCTCTAGTGAGCGACCCCTGACTATCGTGTATAATGAAGCGAAAACTTGAGGACTTCTGGATACCAATGGTCAATTATTCATAGGTTTTTTGCTTTATAAGCGGCAATAATACTGATATAAATGAACACCTATTAATTATTCATTAGTTTCTAGTAATTTTTGACATGCTAAGCATAACTATTTTATACAACGACATTGTAAATTAATTATGACATCTTGATAGATTACACACGATTATTGTAACACAAATTTTATTTATTTAATTTATAAAAAGGATTAAATTAATTTGAAGTAATATTTATTGATATTTATTGATATTTTTGTTATATTATTATGAGTTCCACCAAATAGATGTACTATTTATTATTCATAGGTCTCAGTAACTACTGCCAGGTCGAACTAATTCTTTGTATATAACAGGGCTATGCCTGTTGTCGCCAGCACTGTAAGAAATTGAACCAGACCCAGTCGTTGGCAGAACTCCTTCCAAATTGACAGAACCCAAGAAAGGCAGTTCTCCTGCAACAGCTAATAATCCTTTTATTACATTCTCTGATAGTAGTGAAACTCCTATAGGTCCTTTGGAAGAACTGGTGACGATCAGAGCATCAGTGGTCAAACCAGATGGTAGGGCTATCTCGTTGGAAACTCCGTATGGCATACCATAAAATGGTGCATCATAAGAGCATTGAGAAGTCCTAGGTATTTTAAGTAGTCGCGTTAAAAAACCAGCAATATTCGTATTGGCTTCCCTCCAAGCTAAGAATGTCCTAGCCCATGGAGCGATTCTATCATACGAAGGGTCTATGTAAACTCCAGATATGTCCTGTAATAAATATATATTTATAGTCATATTACTAAATTAACAAAGGAAGGACGTGATAGTTTCTCGTTGAAAAGTTTTAATAGCTATTATAATATTAATAAACATGAACTGTGATTAATAAATTCAAGACTACTGTAACGTCATTATAAATAAATATTATTAAATTAGTACCATCATATTCTTAAGTTTTTTTTAATAGATATTATAATCAGTAGAAAATCTTAAAGCTAAAACTGACAATATACCTGGAGTAATAGCGCCGCAGCGCAGAAAAAGAGGGTGGTTTTGGCTGTCATTGATGCTATTGTTTTGGACTACAGTCAATTAATGTTCTGAGTAAATCAATCACTGGACTATATAAATGGAACTACTTATCGAATATGTTTCCGTAATTTCGTAATATGTTTTATTCTCAGAACTCCATTCAATACGGTCGCGTGTATTGAAAGTTCAATCGAAAATTGATAACACATAAGCTATCAAAGAAAAACTCCACAGAAAAGTTATATACATATACTTACTACTATCTGAAAAACAAAACTATTAGGTATCCCATTAGTCGTATCTTCTTTAATTATTTTTTTTATATCCAGTATGACTTGGTTAAGAAAAAAGATTTTTCCCATTAATTTATAAGATGAAAAATAGTATGTAGTAATTTTTTATTATACAGATATCAATATAAAATGACTTAGATATTACTTATCGTCGCAGTATTAGGAAAACAAAACTTAATCATTAGTCCGTACGAGATTAGTTTTATTCAGAACTAATAAAATCACGTACCAAACATATGATGAAACTTATTAATATAAACATGATTATGTTATATGTAGGTCAAATTAATCGTTAATACAACCTCTTTTGAGTTCGATAAAACCTTATTTTACATTAAAAAATTAAGGTATTTTTAGAATTAAGATTAACGTAAGGATTGCATTCTTAGATTTCTGGAGATTGTGTTAGAACTGAAGGGATGTAAATATATATTATAAAAAATGAACCACTTCTGTCGGAATTTAGATTATTTTTAGAAAAAAACCGCTAATGTTACAAACTGAAGCAAAACATTAATGTTAGCATACATCAAAATAATTTTTACAATGTGAAACAATTTCAAATAATAGCCTTAAATGCCTACCAACATTTTTTGTATCGAATCACGATGAGTACAAAAAATAATTGGTCATTTATAAAGGCGTTGTTCCGAATAATAGAAAATACGTAACAACCTCTAATAGTAGGACAACTTGAAATTGGTAATTACTGTACAAAATAAGATGGCATTGAACTTGCGTAAGTAATAATAGAGCGGGAATTGAAAAATTATGATGCTATTATATTATATTATATTATTACATACGGCTTTATGGCGTTTTATTACTTGGATTGTGTGAATTGTGTTCCCATGCTTGATATAAATGCATACTATTATAATTAATATTACATTATATAATTAAAACAAAGGAAAGCACTCGTAATGAATTTTGTTTTTAATCATGAATGGCAATGTTATTATAACGTCATAAATTCAAACGTCAAATAGACTTATGGAAAAATTTCATATTTTTTTTCAATTTTCATAATTATCTAAATTCTAAAACTTTCGCGAGTATTCTTTAAATAAAACTAATATTATTTGGATTACTACGCGTTTTTTATTATTTTAAAAACTACATACTTACTCCCGACGTTTCGGTAACTTATTTACTACCGAGATCACGGGCAAACGTCGACGTCGAAATTCGTGAACTAATCCGAAAAATATACGTTTCATTTACAATTTTCACCATTAAAAAGCACTAATTAAAAAAACGTTCGCTTTCCTAAACGTGTATTGTCTTAACTCTAATGAAACAAAACCTGTAACTTTCGCTTTTGTTTTAAAAACTCACAATGAATCATACATTTGTTATGTAGGTTATCATTCGATATATCGATGTCAATATTATTCGAATTAGATTCTTATCGATTAAACGTACTTTCTCTAATGAATGGTAGGGTCCGTGTAACGGAAAAGTCCGTTATATTCTAAAACTGTACCGAGATCGTACACTTTAAAGTCATTGCGGCCTAGAAAACACGTTAATACACCTAAATACAGTTAATATTGAATGAGAAACTTATGACAATGACAATATTAATAGAGATTGACACTACGTAACTGTATTCATTAATTAGATCTCTTTATTTTAAAAGAAAGATGCACTGTAATGATAATATAACCAATGAATAAATAAATTTTACAAGCTATTAACTAGTGTTACCATATAGATTGTCATGGTATATTATTATTTTTTAAGACAGTCCAAAAAACAATGTTATTGTTCTGGAAACACTCAATTAGTAATAGAATTTCAAAACGAACATATTTTATTGAGTTGATGATAACTTTTGTTCCTATTTTAATTATGAAAACATATCTAACAATGAGTTTTATTTATGAAACGTGGCATTTTAATTGAGAACTCTTTCATATTCGGACATATTGATAAAGGAATCTGTATTCTTCGTCTTCAAACACTAGGTGGTCGAATCTCACGAACGACCGCACGAGTTATTTAGTAACATAATTTTATTTTTAATTGTCTCTAATAGTATTACGCAATGTTATGAATAAATTAAAAACTGTTAAGTTTTCTTGTAAATAACTCTTTACCTGTGACTAAATTAGTATCTAAATTATAAGTAAAACAAAATTTAAAAAAAATTACTTTAAATAATGACAGTAAAATGTAGTTGTCATTCTTGCTAAAAAGGCTTACCATATTCTGCCAATGTCACGTATATGAAGATTACTCATTTTAAAAAGTAATTTTTACGTCAATGATTGTCAAATTTTTAAACATTAAAAAATACTTTTATTCGTCACTTAAATTTACTTTCACCTAAAGTCAAAGAGAGCCTACGATGCTGTTATACATTTTTAAAAAAGCTTTTAACTTTTTATAACAAACCATAAACCGTAAAAAGATTTAATACTCAAGAAGAAGACTTTATCATCCGATGTTTTATTAGCGTTAAATTATAGGAGTTGAGTTTTAATGTGAATATTTTTAGTTCATTGCTAGTATTTTACGACAGTAAATACTTTAATCTAGAGTACATAAAATTGTGGTAAATTGCTTTCATTTCCGCCGCTTTGACCGCAGTCTTGACCGCACTGTCTTTGATCTATAGTTATTAGTTCGAAGAAAAATATATATTTTATAATGAAAATCTAGATCCGCAATAAAACGATAAGATTTAAACAAAAAACTAGTGTACCTAGAATGAGTTTTTATTCGCAATCTAAGTGTTGCCAGTTTCAAATTAAATAAAATTCTAATAACTCTAAATCAATGTGTAGTATCATTTCTAACTATCAAACCTTTGCTTGGAATCGTTTTAATCTTATTGCGTATGTATTATTAACTTACAAAAAAAAGAAAGACATGATTTACATACTCACAACTTAGGATGTAATGTTATTTAGTATAAGCAGGAATTAACAATAAGAATAATAAAAAAAAAATCAGATTCAGATAGATACTATAATAATCAAAAGATATCTTAAAAGAAATCTCGTTATTTTTTCATATTGCAATTATTATTGGTTCAATTATTATATTTTACACCGACCAATTATTATCTACTTGTCTATATAAAAGTTTAAATCTATCTAACCACGTTAGTAAATATTCTGTACCCTTAGTACAAGTATGGATCGTCTCACTATAGATGAGCAGTTCTAGTTTTTAATTCATAAAACTTCGTACATGACGATATAAATATATAAGAATAACTGAAAACTTCTCGTGTGTTGTGTGGCGACGAAAACTCGTCCTACGAATACGTACTTATTTACGTCAGTAATACGATGAAAGTACATACTATATAAAAAAACCCTATCATCCCTACCCTATTTTATTATATATACCCTATTTACTATCATCTCGGTTTCTGATAATCTAATAACATAAGAGGATTTAATACTGTCTATTTATACTTAAATAAATTTAATTTAAAGTTGGTAGATACTCCTAACAAAACAACATTTTTTTCTGACTTAATAGCTATAAAACTCTATATAAAAACATTTTCTTTATGATTATTACTTTCATAAGACAGTGTTAATGTATACTTAGTTATATTAAGATATGAATTTGTTTCCAGGGGCCGTCAACATGTGGCGCATAATCCTGTTGGCGGTACTCCTGTGCGGAGTCAGGGGTCATCCTAATAAGGTCCGGGATGTGACGACATCGTGTGACAAAGGCTCGATCACTATTAACATAGATATGGAGAAGCCTTTCAAGGGTGCAGTTTTCAGTAAGGATTTCTCAAGAGAGTGTCGGATTTTAGGTATGATTAGTTTATAACTTTTATAAAACGAGGATTTGCTATTAAATATCAACAGGCGTATTATAATAAGTATTGAGACTCAAATAATGAGATACTACAATTTAATATCAAATTGGAAAGAATTATAATTATTCTAAACTGGCTTTCCGCCCGCAGCTTCTCCCGCGTGGGGTTTGGTTATATCGCGTTTCCAAGAAAACTTTTCAAAAGTCTGGGATAAAAACTATCCTATGTTCTTTCTCAAGGTCTACTCTATCTCTGTACCAATTTTCATTAAAATCAATTCAGTGGTTTGGGCGTGAAAGCGTAACAGACAGACAGACAGACAGAGTTACTTTCGTATTTATAATAATCTTAGTAGGGATAATCCTATATACATTTGTTTTATTCCTATTCGCTTCATTAATAGATTTTTTCGTTCTTCAGGTCAAATGCAGACAAATGTTTCATTGCATTTGCCTTCAAATACGTGCGGAGTACGAACGTCGATACAGAATAATACGATGAAAAGAAATGATGAACTAAATTTATACTACACTGTGGAGCTGGTAGTTCAAATGGATAAAATGCTTCAACAGTCATCAGATCAGGAGATAGTTGTAAGGTAAGGAGAGTGAAAGTGGAAATAGAACGACTAGAGGATAAAAAGCCATGTTAAATTTATAGCTAACATTCATAAAGCCAATATTTTTCACTCGTTTATTGGCACTGTTAAAGCTCCTCTAACTTACACGCGATGGACCCGGCATCCGCACGGTGAATCCATTGAATGATGAGACGTTTCAACTCATAGTATTCAATGATATAAGATATCTATTATTTGCTAAAAAATGCAAGGCGCAGCATGATTAAATTAAAATAATTACCTTATTTTATCATACATATGTACAGTTGTATATTCAGAAGTTTCTTCCTTAAAAAAGAAAACGAAAAGTATACTTAGACTTCGCTTTGTTTTAACACTACTCTTGTGTACTTAATAATATAAAAATAAAAAAGTTATCCCTTCATTTCCATACATATATATTTGATACATAACATAAATATGTGGCTAATAGGGTTATACCAATGTATTTATATTAAATATAAGAAAAAATATAATTACAATCTCTTTCTTAAACACGGATGAACAATGTATCAAATAAATTGATAAAATTACTCACAGATGTATCTCACAAGTAAGTATTAATATTTAATATAAAGTGTGTGCTACACAGGTGTAAATTGCAACCTCGTGCGGTGCGGATAAACAGCTCGGCGCTTGAGGGCGTCATTAAATCCAGACTGCGAGAAATTACCGGCCATGAAGGGAAACGGATGAGGTGGTTTGAGATTATTACAGCATCACTAACACTATATACTTACCTGGCTTCGATGTGAATCAGGGTTATCTTAAAACTTTACTGTAACGGAATCTTAGCCGACTTCTAGGAAGGAGGTTCCTTGTTTTGCGCATAATATATGAAATTAAGGTTACTTTTTTCCGATTTACTATGTGTTTTTAATTATATTAACAACATACTTCAGAAGTTTCGGTTACTTTGTAGCAACCGTGATAACGAAGACGGGATGAGAATTAATGATGCAAAGTAATCAAAACATCTTGACTCTTGAGTATATAATTAAAATATCTAAAAACTCGTTGTAACTTCAAATAAATATTACTTTTATTTCAATGAACACTCGCAAAGGTCTTAGATAGGTTCTTTATGTATAAATTTCTATGACGCTTTAGATTTAAATGTGGTTTTATAATTTCCAGAACTGGTCGTAACAGAAAGGGTTGGGAGAAAGTAGTTGAGGTGGAACAGGAACAGTTGTTAGAAGCAGCCCGAGCTTGGATGCAACTGGCTCCAGACACGGTGGAGGTTGGACAACCCACGGAGCTCATGATACACTGTACACTACCAGGTACATCACCATATATTTATAGCATTCTTAGTATAAAGGTGGCACTTCACTTGGCGTTGCGTATTCGCCGCAATTGTCCAAATAATTGTACGTAGTCCAAATAGCGCAAACACGACATCCACACTTGGCCAACAACAACATGTCTTTACGCGTTTTCGCTTATTTATTATTTGTGCAAATATGTCAAATGAAGACGAATAAATCCTCCACACATGGTCTTATTTGGCGGAACACAACAAATAAACGCCAAGTGAAGTGCCACCTTAATGGAAGTCGAGATATAAGATAGTATGTATATCTATTGATTAAAATGATAATAATTGCCTTTTATTACAATTTATGACGAGATGTTTAGTATTTTTAACGTGCTAAATGTCTATGAGATGGTAGGAATGATATCTGAATTGGTACTTATACAAATTTGAAGTGCTTGCTATTTAGGTCCTAACTCCTAAGACATGACCGATTTTTTCTGGGAGATTAGCATCTTAGATGTAATCATTTTGAACGTTTTGGCATTAGCTAGCATTCGGATGTTTTTGTTGTTTGACATTCTCATTTTTATGTACTTTTAAATGAATTCTGTTAAAATGTTAAATATAAAACACGAGTAATGAATAGGTATATCTTTATATACGGAGCGTACATTTTATCGATGTTACAATCTTATATGGGGAATAAATTATGGAAGATGTATGAAATTATACCTATTATCCAATATTCTCGCCTTTTGACAATATTCCAATAAAGTTAATAAATTAGCAAAATGTAGATTTACATATACAAATGAATATCAGACAAAATCACACTGAATGACAAATACTTTTATTACATTTTATATTAGGCAAGATCTAATAAAATCAGCAAAATAATATATCAATTTATATGATTGCAGTGGGCGTCGGTCTCCGTGTAACAAACTGCATAGCGCACGATGGCTTAGGAGAAGCCTCGCAGAAATTACTCGACGAAGCTGGCTGTCCCATCGACGAGACCATATTCAACTCCCCAACCGTCCATCAACACAGACGTGATGAAATAGACTTCACCGATGACCAGAGTTTACAGAACACGAGGATAGGGAATACTGACTCCGTCATCAAAAATATGATGACCTTCCAACACGCAGTGACCACGTTTGCAGCTTTCAAGTTTCCCGATAGAGCGAAACTACATTTGTCCTGTGGAATTGAACTCTGTAAGGGCGTTTGCCCTAAGGTTGACTGTAAAGCCCTTCAAAAACCCCAACAGACGAAAGACGGATTAGTGAGGAAGGCCCGTCTGGATAAGGACGCTAAGGGTCTGGTGATAGAGAGACTAGAAGTCTATAACAGTATAGAAGTCCTAGCACCGAACATTGAACTAGAAGACGAGGCTTCTATAAGAGGTAAATATGTCTTAATTATCCGTTTACCATGATTACTCTCAAAAATCCTTTTAATCTTTAAATCCTTAAGCAAAAACTCTACTTGATATCGTAACAAGCCAACAAACAAAACATAGACTTAAAGATATTTAAATTTGCTTTACAGGTTCAAGAAGAGTAGAAGAAGAAGATGGTCTAAAAGGTTTTTCCCCTGGAGACAAGACGATATGCCTCTCTCCTGGGAAAATGGCCTTAGCTTTCTGTATACTTGGGATCATTTTCCTTTGCGCTATTGCTGTAGCCTTCGCGTCCTTAGTGCGAGCGAGACGGAGAACACCTCGAGAGCCGGTGAATACGTCTCTCTCTTTCTACACCGGAAGCAAGAGTCTCTTCTCTTCTAGTGGCAGCAGCAGTTCTGGTTTAAGTGGCAGCAAGCTTCTACTAACTGATAGTCCATATTTAGACCATCATTCGTCTTCCAGTAATAATTGGCCATATGCTCGGGCATTTTAATCAATAGATATACTAAGTATCTTGGCTTCTGTTAAATTAAGAATGCTATAAGTATAAACAAACTGCTCTCTGTCATATAAAGTGGTCATCATCGGATTTTATTGTGGGATATTCAAATAAATAGATAATATAGAATTTATGCACATTAGAGCACAGATAATAAATATGAAATACGTTTTATTAATTATTTTTGACACATGTCATATTGAGGAGGTGCTTTTGTTTCAGATTTTTTTTATTAAACTCAACAATTTATTTGTTGTATCAAAAACATAACATAAGCACTTCCTCGACACTTAGTTTTAATTTATTTAGGAATAATTTAGTAGCCCAGTAATATGTAATGTGATAATATATAAAAACATTTTCTAATTTTATATTTTTATACTTGATGATAAAATATAATGTTTCAAATGAAATATATGATTAAAAAACAATATTCTTTTATTTTTTACAATACGGTACACTTATTATTCCATTGGCCACTCTAAGTAATCGAAAAAAACATTGAACGTTAGGCCTCGGCCTCGAATTTTGCGGGCAGCGGAGCGGCAGGATTTTACGCGTATAATCAAATGGACCGACCCTCGAATACAGCGGTGCCCGCTGCCCGCTAGTTTGGAGAAATGTATGCGTTTCCGTGCCCGTTGCCCGCTAGTTTGGAGAATAGTATGCGTTTCCGTGCCGCCGCCGCTGCCGCCCCGCTACCCGCGAGATTCGAGGCCGAGGCCTTAAACTTTATACCAATAAAATTTAAAACATTATTTTTCCGGCTGAGAGAATGTAAAAAATGTTTATAAGTAGTCTCTTTAGAAAATAGATTTACAAAAACAACAGCAATATATATAGTTATTAAAAATAACATCCCAAGACCCAATAAATAGTATGAGTTAAGGCCTAAGGGTCCCTACATAAATTTATTATCCAATACAGAAACAAATTATCTATCAATTTAACAATCGCAATTTGTACTGACTTGTCAAAACAACCATGCGGAAAAGACACTGTGATGATTGATATGATACTTATGTGACATACAATAAACAATAACCTAGTAGATAAGTTCAATAAGTTAATATAAAACCTGTACCTCTAGATACGAGAGTCTATAATTAGTTCCAAAACGAAAGATTTTACAGATTAGAAAGTTATTTTTGTATATTAAAAATTTAAAAAATACACAAATCGTGTCACAAAAATCAAATAATAAACATCATATTCAACATATCAAATAAATAAATAAATAAACATATCTTGAAATGAATTACAAGTCCATAGATTTTTCTTTATAAGTAATTAACTAAGGCACTGTCTTGCCATCTAGTGAGCAAGTGGGAGAATTATTAAGAAACTCTGCTTTCAACTTCGAAAGCTTTACTTAAATGATTTAAAGTAGCTTGTATAACAAAAATATCAATATATTATATATTAATTGTATAACTTAGTTATGACTTCAATATAATTATCTAAAAACTTACAGAATAAATATATTTTCATAAAATTATCCGATCGAAAACCATAAAGAATATTCGCTCTTTGTATTCTATAGTCTATGCTTTCTATGCCGGTGTATGACATCATTATGGCCAAAGATTATGTTACAATAGAGGGTTATTTTTTTAAATAATAAGAACCAATTAAGTTAATCCTACTTTTTTGTTAATTTTGATCTTTTTGTATTGAATATATTGAAGTATCACTAATATATTATTTATAGCCTTTAATTTAAAGATACATAACTGTTGGTATATAAAAACATAATTTAAAAGGAACTATAATTTTCTATGTATGGATAATGAAATTTTGATATAACATAATCATAAGAAACAAGCGTACAAGTTTGGTTTTTTTTTTTTGTTTAACCAATATTTTTCGCAAATACATACATAAAATAGGTCATTTCGATAAACTTCGTCTTTATTAGTAAAAAAAATAGGAACACTTAACATAATTAGTATTATGGTCCCTAAAATACTCAAATGTATTATTTTACATCATCTAATGAGCATAATATATTGACATAAACATGGATTTAATTATTCTTTATCTATAGTATCAAATGACGTGTCTGATTGATATTACAAATTATTTAATCTATGATATGGGCGGAAAGGTGATGCTTTCGCGGCGATCTTTGCCTTGCCTTCCCCTCGACGCCGTTTGTACTCGTAGACACGGATGAAAATTTGGACGAATCCTATATGAATGGTGATTATTTATAAGCGTCGTATTGAAAAAGTGATCGTGTTATGACTTTATGAAAAAAAATTGTTGAAAAATATTCGTTTGTATTATACTTGACCTGGGTTCTGAATAAGGCCTGGAAGCTAGTGATTCTGTGTGTGAAGTTTATGTGTGTCAACTGTGCTTGAAGCATTGCCTCTTCATTATTTTTGGTAAGTAGTAATATTTTGTATTCAACTATTTTTTTAGTTACATTAATTTCACCTATTGGATTCAATCTCGGTTATTTATGGGTTCCGATCAGAAATTTGTCCATATACAAGTTCTCAACTCTAACTGAAATTTAAATTTAAATTGTTTTGTAAAATTATTTTCATAATGATTCGATTGAACTTCATATTTAAAAAGGTTTAAAAAAAATTATCGTTTTTTCTTTCGCCATAATTTTCGAAACCAAATATGTCGGCTTCTTATTTTTAAAATAACTAGTACCGTTAAAGATTTTACTGTCACGTTTATAGCCGAGTTTTAATTGAGCATTAATTTATATATAAATATATATCAACACAAGCTCGACGAAGGAATTGGTTTTAAATATGATAACTTTACCTATCAACTTACCTCTTGTTTCCTAATATGACCTTCATAGTCAAAAATGTGTATCGCTTTTTATATAGACGATTATATTAGCAAGTATTACATATTTATATTATATACATACTTTATCAGCATATAGCTTGTGACTAACATGTTGCTATGCTATCATTACAACATATATAATTATTAGTTTATATATAAATTTCTAATATGTATATAAAATTTTAATACTGTGTCTATATGTTCATAATAATATATTTACAAATTATAGTCAGGCATGTAGAGATGAAGAATTATATAGATGTGAATTTGTATGACTCGGTTTTTCATCATATTAATATATGCATGATCGTCAGAAGTATTAGTTAATTATTAAATAGTTTCTGTTTAAATTTTTATCTATAATTAATATTGTTATATATTACAACCCCATTAGTATCTTGATAATTACATAATAATCATTAAATGAATTAACTTTTCATTATTAAGTCAAGGTTCAATATGATCTCATATACTTACTCATGAGCTATTAACTCTATTAAAAAGCCAAAAGATACTGAGGTCATGATAATACTATTATAAGAATACTTGATGGGTATTTAATATTAAGTATTTAATTAATAATACATATATCTTTGATATAATTTAAGCAAAAGTAACTATAATGACTTTTGTTTCATGATTTATATTAAGATTGTAACGATAGTTGTATAATTTTGTACATTTACACAGTGTGTAATATTTTTATACATACATATTTTATTTACAAGGATAGTTGTAGACAATAGCTTGTTTTTTATTTCTATCATTTTCATACTGATGGTTACAGTATTAAATTCATGAAGGGATTTATTTAATGTCCTGTCCATAGTATAAATACTAATAAATATTTTTTCATAATATCAAAAATGTTCCTTTGTTTTTCTCTATAAAATGTTTGAGATAGCAGAATTTTTTGTGCTCTCCAATTTATTTTTTATATTAAAAAGACATCTTTTTTGATCAATCAAGAAAATCTTTATAAATATATTTTTTTTTACTTCATAAAATATTGTGAATTAATAAATATGTAGATTGTTATATTTGTGATTTAATCAGTATTTAGAGTTTTTCAATAAATATTAATTTCAATATAAATGAATATTTTAGTCATCATATGCACCAGATGGTCAATGAATGCTAAGTCAATCTTCAAGGTCCAAGTTGGTAATGCATGCATACAACAAATGTGGAATGCATAATAAGCTGATAGATTAATGCTGCCCTGATTTCTGCCGTCTCTATTATTATAAAGTATAATTTGTTTAAATAAATATTTATATGTTATTCTGGTGCATATATTATTTCGCTCCTACGGTGCAATAACGTCACTTGTGCAATTTATTCCAAAACTTAACTTCATCATCAGCCTATCAGACGCCCACTGCTGAGCAAAGGCCTCTTTCTCACATGGAGAAGGTTTGAGCATTAATCACCACATTTGCTCAAGACGGGTTGGTGATTTAAAACTTATAATTGTGAAACTATAAGTCCAGGTTTCCTCACGATGTTTTCCTTCACCGTATGTCAGTGATGTCTAAATACTCTCAGAAAGTACATATGACTCCGAAAAATCACATTGGTACTTGCCAGATTTGAACCCGCGCCCTCGGCAACGAGAGGCGAGCCCCTTAACCACTAGGCCACCACTGACTTAAACTTAACTTATTACGAGAAAATTCTCCCAAACCACCTCTTTACTTGGTGCGTTTTTGTCATATAAATTGTGTTGTACGCAAACTGTTCTCGTTTCATTATTATTAACTTATTTTTTTAGTCCAATAATACTGTACAAATGAATAGTATGTTCAATTTTCAAACACTACTGAAAAAATATGTTAGATACATAAGTGATGTTATAGCACCATAGGTATGATTTGCTTTTCATCTTGGCTTCATATGTCATTATAAGCAACTGTTTTGACTTGATTTTTAAAGTTATATCCAACATAGTTCATGTTTCCCCCAAAGCACTACTGATTAAGAATTATTTTTTGTTCCTAAGAATCTCTATGTAAGTCAGTACTAAAATCAAATTCATCTAAATTGAGAATTCCATTAATCTACCCAATATTTATTTATTCATATATCTGTTCCATTTAAATTGGACACCAAAGAAATATATTTGTAGACTTTTCTCGAACAGTTTAGTTAGTTCTTTGAGCCAAGCAACACTCAAA